ATCATTCATCAATTCAAAATTTAAACCATTTTTATTATGAAATAATTAAAATACATTTGAATATAGATAAATGATGATTTATAATAAAATTGATACATTTATTAAATCAATTGATAATTCTAATTTCAACAATTACTTAACAATACGAAAACATCAAGAATCAATAACTGAACATACTAAAAACAATATTAAAACGATAAATACATTTGTAACTCATAGTTTAATTAATTCATGTTCTAAACATACTGTATTTTTTATTTTAATGATGTGTATTCAGAAATATATGAAAATAATTGTTGATTTTGAATATACAAAAGAATAAGCAGTAAAAATAAATGAAATAATACCATCTCATAAGTTCAATAATTAACACAGAAGAAATAAAATAATTGATTTACAAGTATAAAATAGAATAAATAAAAGTGCAATTGATTAATAAATACTTTTTAATAAATGAAAATAACAATATTAATAAATAATATCAACACATCAGTACGATGATAAAGAAATTTAATAACAAAATAAATTGAGAAACTGACAATACTCTAATACCATATAAACAAACTTGGTGATAAAATAAACAAATTAAATATAAAAATGAAAGAAATAACAACAATAAAAAATACATAAATAAGTAATAAGAAAAATAAATATAAAGAAATAAGATATAATAAAAACAATATGAATAGAATAATAAATGAAATGAATGAATTAGAATTAATTAGTTAACTAGATTAGAGATTATTTGAATAAAAGAAACAAGTATAAATAAAATATGATAAGTTATTGTAGCATTAATTTCAACAATGAGGTGGAAAATGAATAAATCAGTAAATTAATGAAAGAATTAAATAATAAATGGACACTAAAGAATTTAAAACTTTGAAGTTAAAAAGATAAAAGATATTTGTATAATTTTGTTTCTTTCATAACCAAACATACTCAGTCGATACATTAAACAATGGACAATATATTATTAACTGTATAACAATGAATAATAAAAATCAACACATAATGCGTAAATAACTTCTTATATTATCATTTTCTTTTTCTTCTATTATAAAGTTATTTGTTTTAATTGAATCTCTTCTTATAATGCTCTTGACTAATTTAAATGATTTTATTCAAGAGTAAAAATAATTTGTAGTAAAGTGATTCTCTCAATAAAGGTAATTTTATTATAAATAATTCATAATAGCATCAGAATATTCTAACTATGTGAAATAATTAATAACTATTGATTATAAAATTTATATATGTTGTAGTATAAATGATATTGAACGAATGTATTTTTAATAATAATTGAATGTAAAATCCAATTTAAATATAGAAAAGTCATAAAATAAGGTTCAGTACAATTGAGATAATAATTAAACGTTATTGTCAAAGAATAAAATTTAGTATAATATATAGTTAATTATAATAATAGAATGTAACATTTTTAATCATTAATTTATGAAAATGCACTTCTATTGATTATTCATATTGATAGAATCTCTTTGATTTCTTCGTCGTAATGTTGTTTTTCTTCTATGTTAATTGTATAAAAATTCAATTAAATTTATTTGAAAAGATTAAATAGTGATTTTATTCTTAAAGATATAGAATACTTCATCACTTAATTTATTTTATTCATTAGAAATAATAGGAAATAATAAAAAACAAATATGAATAATGGAATATGAATAGATAAAAAAACAACAAATTAAATGATCATCTTCATTACTTAATGAAGACAATTAACAATAGTATTAAATATAAATAAAATAATATTTAAAATAACAATGATTTGAATAATGAATTGAAATTTATTATTCATTTCAGAATTTTATGATGAACATTATTGTTATTTAATTGATTTGATATTTATTATATGTTATTATTTTCTTTATCTGTGATTTTTTGAATTACAAAAATAGAATGAAATGGCAAAATAAATGGAAATTGATTTGAATTGATAGTTGTATTTGAAATTAGGTATTGATATTAATGGTTCAATATTAACATAAAATGAAAATAAAGAATAAAGCATATTTAAAGAAAAACTGAAATACAAAACAATCAATGATTGCGTTTATCTTATTTATTGTAATTACAAATGCAATTGATATTGTTTTATGTATGGAACATGGAATTAATAATGATAAAAAATGTAAAAATCTCATAGTTACATCAGATCTAATTCCAAGTAGTCTTAATAAAGCTAAATGTATTGAATATAAAAAAGGAAAAAGTCTTAAAATATATAATAAAGAAATAGATAATAATAAAAGATATTGTATTAAATATTATAGTGATAGTAAATGTTCTAAAGAAGAAGAACAACAAGACAATGACACAGTTATTGTAATGAATAAAAATATTCTTTCAACAAAAAATAATCAATATAAGAATGGTGTTGTCTATAAAGAAGATCATGAAGTTAGAATATATAAAATCTATTCAAGTAAAACTAAACGAATGTATAATACATATCACATTCATTTAAAGACTGAAGCAGAAGTATCAACAACAGAACCAACACCTCAAAAAGAACCAAAACATCAAATTAGTGAAGAGGCTTCAACTCAACAAGGACAACAAAAGGAAGGAACTGGTAACACCGAAACTACAAATAAAAATACAGAAACATCAGTAAGTGGAGGAGGTAGTAAACCAGAAAACAAGGAAACAACTAAAGAAAATGGAGGAAATACACAACCTGGAAGTGGTGGAGCAGGTTCAGTAAGTAGCGGAACAGATGGAACAAGTGTAGAGCATAAAGAAAATACTGAAGAAGAAACAGCTAACTCAAAAGAAACAAGTACAACTAGTAAACCAGGAGAAAAAGGAAATGGTGGACCAAGTAATGTTCCAGGTACTAATGGAGCAGGGTCTGATGAAAAAAGTGCTGGAGACACAGAAGCTCAAGGATCAGGAAAGAGTCAAACAACTGACAATGGACCAAGTGGAGATCAAGGAAGTAAAGGAACAACCAGTAATGGTGCAGGAAGTACCCAAGCGGGAGGAGATAAGGGGACAAGTGATGGTAATTCAGAAAATACGCAACATAATGGAAAAGATGGACAAACTGACCAAAGCGGAAGTAAGAAAGACAAAGGAGATGATGGAACTGCAGGAAAAGATAGTAGCAAAGAACAGCCTGGAAATGGTGAAGATACTAAAGGACAAAGTGAAAAGAACGAAAATAACAGCATAGATAAAAATGAAGAAGCTACAGGAAAAAGTGGAGAGAAACCACAAGCTGGAAAAGATGAAAGTAAAGAAAATGGAGAAAATACAGGAAATAATGGAGAAAATAAAGAACATACTGGAGACAAAGGAAAAGATGATGACAACCAAGGAAAAAATGGAAATGGAGAAAACAAAGGAACTGATGAAAGTAATAAAGGAGAAAATGAAAATAAGGAAAGTGATGGAAGTCAAACTAAAGACAAAACATCAAGTAGCTCAGAAAGTAAGTCGGAGGACGACTCTAATAAACATAACAATTTTGATGCTACATCCAATGCATTTGTTATTCTTTCTCTTATAATTACAATTTTCTTCTTCTAATTAAAGCATGCTTTTTTTATTTTAAATGACACTGAATAATGGTTATGTCGGTTAGATTAAATAACAATAATATTCCAAAGTTACAGTACATTATATTCAATGATATTTAAAAAGATGTTCAAGAATAACTAACAATAAGTAATATATCTTTTTATTCATTTTTATTTAAGCTACTTTACTTTTTCTAATACATATTTCTTGTTTAGTAGTAGTTTTATTTAATCTTCAATTGAACAACCTTTATTGACAACCAACACTCACACAAATTCATATCTTTACCTTTTTACTTTATCATATTTCCTTTCTCTTAACTTTTCTTTTCAGTTATCAACAAGTCATTGTACTATTGATTTATTGATAGTATATCTTCTGTGCTTTCTTTTATCTTATGTTATTAAAAATACTACTTAATTCTTTTTTTTGTTTCACAGCCATTCATAATAATGATATTTCTATTCATTATACAGTTTATTAATTATTATGTTTCATTATTTTTTATATAATTTATTAAATTTCATTATTAGTTATGTAATACTCAATTATGTAAAATAAATGATGTTTATACTTTACTGTAACACAAATTGTGGTTGAAATCAATATTTAATAAATTTTAATTAATAAATATGATAAGACTATTTGTATTTAATAGTATTAAGGTTATAAAAATGAATTTACTATTTCTTTTTATTTTTATTGAAGTTTAATTCCAATAGAGGTATGCATTATTCTTTTTTGAAATAAACATCACTCTTAAAGTATATATGAATTATACACGTCATTAGTAGAAAATTAATATATCTTATTTTAATCATATCATTATTTATTCTTTGTTATTTTTATTGTTCTTATACTAATGAAATAATTTATTTTATGTAACATTTAAATAAAAAAAAAGATAATTCCAATGAAATTTATAATCCAAACATCAATAATTAATAATTAATCTAAAATAATAAAGTCTAACAGACATAATGTAAATAAATAATAAAAAAGATTGTTCCATAAGAATGACTTGATACAATATCAGTATGAATTAATTGTGTTAATGTTATTATTAGCATAAAAAATCAATAACTTTAACGTTGAGTTTAATAACGTAGAAAAAATTATAATATTAATAAAATAAAAAAAGTCATTATTCTACAATAAAACTGAAAACAGGTAATTATTTCAGAGTTGTATAAATGAATAACATAATATCAAGTCAATAAAATCACTAAGATAAAAATAATAATGAAAAATTCCTTTAAAAATTAACAAATTTATTTTTGAACATAAATATCAATGAACGATAGATAAATACGTTTTAAAATTTTTTTTAAATCATAATTATTTGAAAAAGAAGACATTTTTTGGAAGTAAAAAAAATTATAACAAACAAATAGTGTTAGCAACAAACGATTCAATTATATTACTTTATTTCTAGGAATTGTGAATTGAATAAACTACAATAAGAATGGATACGGATAATCTGAACCATCATTCTTAGTTAATATCCATTCTTTAATTCTATTGACTTTCTGAAGAAAATATAATTTATTGATTTTATCTAACGATTGTTGTGTAAGTTTTTGAGGTCCATTTAATGAATTCTTTAGTTGTTTTTGTTTTGAATTCATTAATTTACTTTTTTCAAATTTTTTAGGTTTTGTTAAAATACTTCGAATATATTCATTCTTTTTATCTTCTGTTGAAGAACAAATAATTTGTTCTTTTGATGTTTCTTCAGTAGAAACTGGTATGTCCTGATGGGTCAGTTTATCTACAACCCTTTCCTGCTCTTGTTTTAAGATAAACTGCCCAAGTTCCATTGTCTGCATTTTCGTTTATGTCTGATGATTAATTTTTCTTAGTTCAGTACTACTTTTTTATTTTTTATTTGAAAATTTGAATCTCTTTTTTTCTCCCCCTTTTTTACATTAATTCTCTCTTTTCTTTTACAATTTAACAATTTTATGACTTTTGATTCACAATAAAACTTCATTTTTTTTTTAATTTTTGCATCACTTTTAATAAAATTTTGTTTTAAGTTAAATGATTTATAATAACTTGTTGACTTTAATAAAAATTAATTTTCTTTTAATTAAAAAATGGTTATATAAAACATAAATCCAGCATAATAGTTGATTAGTTAATTTTTTTAAAACGTTCGATAATTAAACTAACTTCTTTATTATAAGAAGAATATTTTGACACAAATTTCTTTTCTATCTCTGAAGATTGTTCTGTGATATTAACAGACCTTTCTTTCTTTAATTCATTTAAAAGATTAATAAGGTTTTTGTTAAATGAATTATTCTTCTTTATTAAGAAGAATGTCAATCCAATAGTTTCAACTGTGAGTAATAAATTTCTTCTTATAAGAAGATATTCTTCTTCTGTGAGAGTATTAAATTGAGTGTTAATCCATTTACAAATTGATTCCAATAATTCATTTCCTTCTTCAACTTTTTCTTGAACAATACAATTCATTGTTTTAATAACCATCTGATTAAGTTCTCCTTCAATATTAAAGTCTTTAAATTGATAAGGTTTTTTTGATTGTTGTAATAGAAGAAGAATTTGATTTAATGAATAAAGTTGTTGATATTGTTGATCATTTCTTTCAATATCATAAAATGGAGAAACTAATTGAAGATGAGGTAAAGTGTAAAAAGTTTCACAAAAATAAGCGTGTCTATCACAATTATCAATAAGTTCTGTTACTATTGGTTGATACGTTTCAATAATTTTTTGAATTTTATTAATACATTTTTCTTGAATAAATTTATTATTTTCAAATGAATGGATAAGAGAGTCTTGAAGTTGTCTTAATACTTCAAATATATTTACTCCAGCTTTTGTACTTGACTTTTTTAATTCCTCTTCAAATTTAAATAAATCATTTAACTCTTCCCAATTCATTGAGTCAATAGCTTGAGTTACATTATCTTTCATATAAATAGCATGATCTTTATGAAAATTATAATACTTCTTTATTATTGTTTCATATTTATCATTTATTCCTAATGAATAAAATATTGGAAATATATGATGTCCTAATGACTCTAATAATACATCTTTAATATCCATTCTTTGATGCATAATTTCTTCAACTGCTTCTTCTCTCATTCCAAGCATTAAATAACATTTTACTTCTAACATATGAAATTCATGTTCATCTTCATTTTTCTTTAATTCATCTTCACAAATTTTAATTGCTTTAAATAATGAATTTCTATTATGTTCTCTTTGATAATTTTGTATTAAATTACAAATTTCTACAAATTTTTTTTCAACTGTTTCTCCTTGTATTTTTTTAATATCTTCTTCTGTAAGTTCTAAACAACATTTTAATTTTAATTGTGCATTAAACAAAGGATAGTCTTTTGTTATTTCAATCATAGATAATGCAGTCTCATTATTTAACTTTGGAATAATATCAGATGCACATAATCTTAATTGTGAAAATTCTTTTAAATAATTTAATATTTCTTGTTGAACATTTTCTTTTGTTCCAAATTGAAGTTGATATTCAATAAGAAATATAAATACTGACCTTCTCATAGTAGAACTAAATTTCATTTCTTTTCTTTTATTTATAAGCTCTAAATATTTCTTTCTATCTTCTTCTTTTAAATATTTAAGTGAATGTAATAAATAAGTGTATGCACTATAATCTTCATCTTTAAATTCATCTAAATAACTTATTACCTTATTTGGAATAAGTTCATATTGTTCACTTTTTTCTAATAGTTCCATAATAACAAGATAATTTTCTCGTTGTTCAAAACGACAAAACATACCTGATGCAATACTTTCTTCAAGTAGTTTAATCATTTCTTTATAGTTTTTTTCTTTTTGAAGTATATCTAATAACATCATAACTTCTCCTTTCTTTTGGTGTGAACGAGTTAACATCATTTTAGCCATAATTCTTGTTTTTGGATTAGATGCTAATAAGTACATTCTTAATTCAATATATTTTTCTTTATTTGGATGTTTTTTTATTAATTCACTAATAAGTGTTTGTTGTAATGAATAATCATTTTCAATTTGTGCAATAAAGAAACGGTCTTTAATTCTATCATCATTATTTTTATCTTTCTCATAAAAAATTTTAACTGCTTGAACATATCCATCAATATTTTTACTTGCTCTATATCCATATAATATCCAATTCATTGTTATTGGTGTAATAACATCTTCTTTTATTAAAGAGTTATTGATTTCATCAGCTTTTTCTAATTGTCCTGTATATGCTAATCCATATGCTTTCATTGCTTTCCAAAATTGATTATTTGGTTTTTTCTTTAATTGTCTATCAACATCTCTTAGCATTGTTTTAAAATTACCTTCACGAATCATATCAATCATCGCATTAATTTTATTATCATCAGGAATTTTATGAATTGGATCGTTCATTAACTTTTTTAGTTTTTGATTATTTCTTCTATTATCAAATCTCTTTTTAAACTTTTCTTTATTTTACTATATTTATAATTTCTTGTATTATTAAATTTCTTATTTTTAATAAATATAACTTTTTGTGATTAAATAATAATAATATATAATTTCTTATTAATATATTAAAAAAAATCATAAAATATTAATTAAATCAAAAGATTGAATTGCTTATGACATCTCAGCCATCTCTTCATCTGATATATCTTTATTATTCTTTTTATGATTACGACAAGTAAATCTTATCTCACCTGCCTTTGGACTAAAAAGACTTTCAAATTTTGAAAAATATCCTATGCAAGCAGATAAAATACCAATAATTGAACCTGCAAGAACATCACTGAAGTTATGGTAATAGTCCCTTGTTCTAGTTAATACAATAATTCCTGCAAGAAACATTGGAATAATCACTGGAATCACTATTCATAAATAAATAAAGATTTTTATTTTTTTATATAAACAAACTTCTCCATAACTCTGGTCTATCACTAAATATACGCAACTCACCTGCAATATATAATGAAAGATATGTATATCCACAAAATGATGCGGCAGAATGTCCAGATGGGAAACTCTTCCAAGCATCTTTTTCTTTTCCTTGTGCAACTAATGCATACATATTAGGACGTGGTCTACCAGCATATATTTTTCCACCTTGAACAAACATTAACCATGTAGTTACTGAAGCACCTAATCCTATAAAAGTAAATATAGTATGTTTCAAACTTAATCTTTTTATTTGGAATGCAATTATTATCATAATAGTAGAAGCATAAATAACAACACCAGCAACAGCTTCACTAAACGTAGAGTCTCTATAAGGATATAACACATTTACATTATTCTCTCCTCCTGGGACTTCCATATGAAATCCATCAATAAAAGTAAGTACTGCAGCAACAGCTCCAGTAACTATAATATAAATAATATCTCCTCCAATTTGAAATAAGACTTTTAAAACTTTATTCATTGCAACTAATAAAAAACTTTTTATAAAGAAATTTTAGTTTTCATATTCATTTTCTTCTCAAAAGAAGCTTACCAAGTTAAGAAAGTCTCAGATATAAAAAACACCACTTAATAAAGTTGATACATAAATTGGGTTATTTTGGTAGTTTGAAAAATACAAAATAATTATATATAAATTTTTACTTACTTATATAGTTTTGATAAAAAATAACTGTTTTAACAAATGGATTTCTAAAAAAAGTCACATAGTTTTTTATAAGATTCTTTTATAAATAATAAAAAATGTTATACTTCTTAATAAATGAATATTTAATTTTTTGTTGAATCTAAATTAATAATGAAAACTTTCTAACAAAAATAATGGTTATGTCAGATTCATTAGACATTCTTTTACAAACCATCGTTTTAATGACGTTTCTTATTCCAATTTTTCAAGTAATAACTTCAGTACTATAATTATCAATACTCTATCTCAATACTACCACATCCTTTTTTTTTATCTCTTTTCACTATGAAAAATAAACTTTGCAGCTATACTAAAATATATTTTATATAATTTATTATAACTATTCTAATTAAATGTTAATAATAGTTTATTATATTCACAACCTACGTTTTATTCTTCAGTATATTTATATAAATATCGTGATTAAGATAATTATTTAAAGTTTATATTATTGAATAAGTTTAGGTAATTAATATTTGTTATATAAAATTTTAAGAACATTCACTCTTGATTACATAATCTTCTGATGATAACTCCTTAAATCAATAAATTATTCTTTTCTTCATTGACAATTAAATAATATTTAGTTAAATGATGAAATTTTTCTTAAATTTCAGTCTTTTATTTCAATTGAATGACTCAATAGTTCTTTAAGATAATTTGAGTCTTTACGTTTAATTATAATAAAATCCCTTAAACAACTAAAATAATTCAATAACAACTAAATTAACCTTCTTCTTTAGGTACTCAGACGACGTTCTGTTTTAATAAGATGAAAATTAGTTTAATTAATGTTTTTTTTTATTTCATTTAGAATTTTTGTTAATTTAAAGTGAAATAATGTGGTGGAAGAGGGGATATTGGTCTTCTTGTTGGCTTAGAAAACTCTTGATACTTCTTTTCATTAAATGGTTGAAATTGATCTTTTGGAACAGGTTGTGGAACACTTGGTTTAAAATAAATGGCATAACACTGTTGTCTCGGTTGTTGTGTTTTTTTATTATTTCTACGTCTTTCTCCAGCAGGTGAATTCATGAAGTTTCCTCGTTTTGTTTTTTAAGTTTTTCATTTTTTGAGATTTATTTTTTTTATTTTTAGATTATTAATGATTTTATTATTTTAATTATTTTCTAGTAATGTTATATATATTAAAAATATAATACCATGAATTTTTAATTCTGTCAATATAAAAATATTCAAAAAAAGAGTTTGTGAATGATAAAAAACTTAAGAAATAATTACGTCAATAAGTATAAAAGGGTGAAAATTACTATTGTTAATGACTCTCTTCACTAATAAAATAAATGAATGAAATTATGAAATATATGAAATAAAAAATATTTAATTAAGTATTAATAGAAATAGTTTCTATTGTTTCTGGATCAGGGGAGACAAACTAATTCTATATGTTTTCTTCTAGAATTTCTACGGAGTATTTTTAATTGTGATAGAAGTAGTACTCAATGACATCATTCATGTTTTGTATTACT